ACACTGAACCCTGTCTTGTAAAACCAAAAAAAAAAAAAAAAAGAAATGTGCTCTTGATTTAATAATTGTAGATAAAATAGTGAAGATGTCAGAAAAAATCCAATGGCAGCCACTTTGTTTGACATTACCTTCTCTGTGTCACATGGTATTTATTATGATTATGATTAAATAATACAGTATAGTTTTGCCAAACTCAATTCCTTTGCCTGTTCATATCTAATATGAAATATTTCTTTTAGACCTACAGCACATTTTTTAAACCAGAAATAAAACATTTTATCTTTAAAAATAAATGATATGTTCTTTTTTAAAAAGAAAATAATGCACAAGGGCATAGTTTGATAAATGAAGACAGCTTTAATTTTACCCCTTTGGAAACAGAACCTTCATCCAGAGACTGATGAAAGCAGAGGCAGATACCCCCAGACAAACAATGAACTGAACTTCTAGAATCCAGTGTTGAAAGAGAGAACTGATGGGCAAAGGAGTTAAGACTGGGCTGGTTTAACCCACAGAAACAGTTGACCTGAAAAAGGGGGAGCTCTTAGACTCCAGATTGACGGCTGTGTGGAAAGCATGGGACTGACTCAGACCCCCTGAATGTGGGTGGCAGTGAGGAGGCCTAGGCAATCTATGGGTCCTTGGGTAGTATTTATCCCTGTTGTACAAATAGACGTTGAGTGCGCATGCCACAATATGGGAGGCTTTCTCAGCTGGAACTCTTGTGGGAGGGCCTATGCCCTGCCCTGGATGAAATGATAGTTATTGGATATTCACAATGGAGTGCCTCATCCTCCTTGGTGATAATGGTGGAGATTGGGTGGCGGACTGGGGAACATGGTGGGGAGGGCAGGGGAGGAAGGGAGGGAGAGACACCTGGGATTGACATGTGAAACAAGATTGTTTCTAACATGAATAAAAAAAATTAAAATATTTTACCCCTTTGTATTCATTTCATGTAAAAGCTTGTTCTCACTCTCCATATCAGTTTTCTCCATGCAGAATTTCATCTTCTATTAGGCTCCTTTACATCTTCAAGTGATACTTGGAAATAACCAAAGAGTCTCTTCAAGAGGAGGGTCTGAAAAGAAGTTATAATTTGGAGTCTGACACTTTAGATGTTAGCATTTTAAAGTCACACTTATCAAAGGGGGGATTTTTCATCATTTTCTGCTTATGCTAGAATATTTTTTGATGGAAATCCTAAGTCCACTGATTGTTTTGAGATGTCTTTCACAAGGAGAGTATGAGGTAAAGCACACTGAATGCACCGTGCTTTTCTTTTAGTGCCTGCTCTGCCACCCTCTGCAGTAGGTAGTACCTTTATGCTCACTTTACAAGTAGATGAAACCACATGCCAGATGGTGAGAACTGGAGAAAAATCAAGCGGTATGAATGCAACAATTTGGAAAGCTTTCTTATTTAAGTGAGATACGTTCTTATCAATTATTTTAAAAACTCTATGTAGATAGCTCAGGATTCATCAAGAATGACAATGAACTGTGTGAAATTAAAATCTTCTGAAAGGAAAGGAAATAATAAAGTGAAAAGCAGCTTAAAAAATTGGAGAGAACCTTAGGCCACTGAAATTTGGTGAATATCTAGAATCTATAAGAAAAACAAACGAAAGAATACATGCATACTGAAATTGAAAAGGCAAAAGTTTCAAAAGATGAACATACAAGCATTCAAAAATGTGTAGAAATTGTTCAACATTATTAACCATCAAAAAAGTAAATCAAACATCAGAGATTCATTTGGCCTCATCATGAAGTGTAGCAAACTGCAGGTGTATTCACAGCTACAATACTATGATGCATCACAACAATCCGAGGCTAAGGATGAAAATAAAGACAAAGACAGCGGCTCATTTTTCAAGGAGAATGGCATTTATTATTACAAGAGAGGATCCTTATATACCAAAGGCAGGTATGGTGGAAAAACACCAAGGTCAGAAGCCTATATTCCCAGGGCCCTCCCGCAAAGGGGTGGGCCAAAAATAGGAATTAGCATTTAGACAATAAACAGGAACTTGCATGCAGGCCTTACTGGGAAGAGGGGATGAGAAGTGTTTTGCTAAAAGCCCCTAGTAGCAAGTAGTCAACAGACCCCAATGGGGGAATGGTGCAAAAATGAAGTTCTCACCAATATTTAAACAGAATCCATGTGCAGAGTCACCAATGTAATGTGAAGTCATCCAGAGACTTATGGTCTTGAGATGGTGTTGTAGAATCAGGAGATTGCATAATCTTTCAAACCATGATGTATCTTGCACAAGTATATCATTATGAATGCTCTGTAAAGTTATACTTGATTTGAGTCTAATCTTTAAACCAACATTGAGAAAGTCACATTATTATCATCAACTCAGACTCCTGCACTCCCCATTTGACTCCAAAGACCAGGAGGAATCTTGGAGATCGGCTGGTCTTCAGCCCTTCACTCAAAATTTCTGAAGAAGCTGGATTCTGATGGCAGTGCAGGAAGCCAAAACTCTCAGCAGTTTGTTTCTTGATTAGTTCTAGATCCAGTTAAGATAGAAATCAAGATTATGTATCAGAGGATGCAAGGTTATAGTAATTAAATGCCCATGCTGTGTTATGTTGCAACATGCATTAAATTTAGTTACCAATGGCACGTTATGGTGTTTATTTTAAAGTAGTAAATAATGAGCTTTAAAATGTTTTCACACAAAGCCATGATAGATGGTTCAGGCCATCAATTTGCTAATTAAGCTGATTTAAACTTTCCATAATGTGTATATTTAGTAAAACATCATATTATATCCTATCAATATTTAGCAGTTTTTTTCTTTTCAATAAAAATAAAACGTATAAAGAAAAAACTAAGGCTATAAAATAAGGTGTAAGCATTGGAAGTTCTAATAATACATGTACATTCATTTTGACAGCAGTTCTCTTTCTGTTCATGGCAGATATTGCTGCTGTTGATAATGACTCTCAGGAAACATTGCCTAGAAAACTGTCTTTTCTAACCAAAGCTTAAGAAAGACATAGAACAGTCAAACAATGGAGAGAGTTTAATAAGGTGTGGTATCAATTCATCGTCAACTTCACTTGATTATAATAGCACCACCTAGGAAATTATATAGGTATACCTATGGTTATATCTGTGAGAGAATATGCAGGAAGGGTTAGCAGATGGAAAAGGTCCACTCGGAGTATGGGAGGCATGTGACCTTTGCCATGGGAGCTGGGGCTGAATAAACAGTAGAGAAGCCTGACAGCCATCAGAGGAGAACTTCCCCTCTTTATGGTTTTTGGCTGCATGGCCAAAATATGCCAAAGCAATCATTATAGCTAAAACATGAAGGCTGCCAAAGGTCCACACAAGCAGCCCAGTTAACCTTCACTTATCCCCTAATGAATCAACAGGAAGATAGCTGAAAGAAAAACACTGCAGTTAGGCAGCTAAACAACATCTTCTTCTATCCCACTTCCTAATAAATAGAACCTGGGTTCACAGGAAGAGCTGATAGTAAATAAGAGAACAGGCCAAAGTTAGGTCATTTCGTTACCTTTCCTCCTGTGAGCTCTTCACCCTGCTAGCATCCTGCTTATTTTCACCTGCTATCCTGCTCACCTTTAGTGACCCATGAATAAGAACATTCTGTGGTCTGGTTACTACGCAACTACCCCTGTTTTTATTACCCTGCCTTACCTATCCTCCCACCCTAACCACTATATAATGTGACTGAGAAAAGTAAAACTTCCCAGCTTGATCAGAAAGCCTGTCTTGTCCTTTTCTGTGTCTCCTGTCTCCTAATTACAGGCTTCTCCGTGCTTGTCCTTCATTGTGACCTTCTGGACAGGGCAGAAGTCCCATATTTCATCATGCCCCTTAGTCATATGGAGTGAGCCCTCTGCAACCAAGAACATAATAAATTCATCCACCAATAAGTTTTCATCACAGGAATTCCATTATATTATCACAAAAGTAACAAATGCAGGGTGTTATCCATATAAATATATAGAAGTTCACGTACATGGTAGTATATTCTACAGTCTTGTTTTCACAATTTCTTTATTAATATTACTGGAATATTTTCTCCATGGGAATCTGTTGCTTGTTTGTGTTTTATTTTTTGGTGTTTATTTTATGAGACATGCTGTCACTCTGTGTCAGTTTAGTCTAGAACTCATAGAGCTCAGCATGGCCTTAATTCACATCCTCCCTGGGCTGAGAATACAGGCCTGAACCACTCCACTAGATTTTCAAATTACTTTCTGAAAACAATAATGTTCTAGCACCCACTTATGGAGTTTTCTTTAGGTCACCAAGTAATTTTAAAATTTCTGAACTATATGAGTCCTGTAATAATCAGGTAAATCAGATAACCTATTTCCCTCATACTAGAAAATTCAGGTTTAGTTTCATTGCTAGGGTGGATTTCTTACTGAGTGACACAGATTTAGCCAGATGATTTGGAAGAGAGTAGAGCTAATCTGTATACTGACAGTCTGTCCCAAAGGAGTCTGGCCACTGCTGCAAGGAGCTGGCTGAGAGGAAAACCTCTGTTCTAAAGGTGACTCTGCCTTGACCTCTCCTAAAGCAGGTAGAAGTCTGACAGTTCTCACCAGAGACCCATGTCCAGCCCATCTTCCACTCTAGATATTTGCATATTGGTGAGGGCATGTGATGTTTGTCCCTGTTACTTCTCCAAACTCTCAATCCTCCTCATGACAAGGTAATGAAGCAGGATGAAAAACACTACATTTGAAAGAGTTACTGACATTGGATATGTATTCTCCACACACAGCCCTGTTCAGAACAAATAATTTAAACTATATCTACAGGACCAAAATCTTTACCTAAGAAATCCTAACACACGTCATATTGGATTATGGTTTTATACATATTCTTAAAGGCATTTCACTGCTCCACTTGCATATAAGTATATCCATGAACTATGACAATACAGGGTGAGCTCCCAACTCAACCAGGAACTTCTTCCAACATTAGCGTGAACACTCAGCAATCTCCAGCCTTCCTCAGACAAGAGGCTGCTCTGTGGTTCCCTCCAGAGGATGTCCCCTTGTGGCTTGGTCGTCACTATCTATTTCCCCTGCGATTTGGAAGCTGAAGAGCAAAGACTCTCAGTGCCATTGTGGTGAACTTCCTGCCACGTGCAACTCAAGTGCACAGCTTCCTGCCCAAGAATCTATGCCCACAGAGGAGAGAGGAAGGCAGGGCTGTGGGTAGGGAGTGTGGCAGTAGCAGAGATATAGGGGAATCCCTTGAGCAGAGGGCAGGGTCTCTAGGAAGGCAGGTGGGGGCAGTCCTCCAGAACTCCACCTTGCCTGCCTGTGGTGCTCCAGCTCCTGTGACTTACTTGGCTCTCCCATAAATGCTCGTGTGTCCCATGTGTGTCCCTGGAGTGAAACAGAGCCTCTTCTCGAAGCATTTGCTGCTGTGAGCCAGGCCCGAAGGAGACCATAGTGGGAGGCACTGCTTCAGGCTCCTTCACCTAGAACCAGGAGCTGAGGCAGTAGATCCCCAGCCTCTGCCTGATGGTCGTTTTAGCCACCAGCTTGTCACTGCTGTTCAAGGCTAGGCCTCACCACCATTGTTGATGCTCAAATGGGACTGGAGTGGCTTCCATTCTCTGAGATGCCCAGGTGGTCTTGCTGAGCCAATGTCAGTGCCTGGGGCTATCAGCTGGGCAGTCGATGATTAGAACACAACCTGGTGCTGTCTGTCATCCAACTCCAAGCTCAGGAGGAATGCACACTGTAGCTTGGTGTCCTATGGGCCCAACGAGGACCTCATTCAGAAAAAGGGCTGCAATCTGCAGTCCTTAATGACCAGGAAAACATCTCCAAGGTGAGCAAGGCAGCCTGTCCCCCTGATTCCCTGTGCAGCCAGGAGCCCTGTGGGTCCATTGCCTGGGGATAGGCCCTCAGAGAGCAGTGGGAACTTTGCTAGCAACAGACTCTTGGCTGTGGCTTGCAGATGCAGGGTGGTGTCAGTATGCATGTGCTTGAGCTGTCCTGAGGGACAGGGGAGGCCTAGGGCAGGGTGTATTTGGGATTTTGTCAGAGACTTTATGTTTCTGGGGCCCCGGGGTGTGAATACTTTCCAAGAGGAAGGGAATTGTCATAATGGTGATTTTTTTCCTGGGGATCTTTAAATGGAGTTGGCCTGCATTCTCCTCTGACAACTCTCTTCCACCCCATTCCCTCAAAAACTAAACCAGGCCCAAAGGAGTATGCTTGTGACTGTAGATACACACATGTATACATGTGTATGATTAGTATACATGCAGTCACACACGCACACCTATAGACACTTAAATACTACTGGTAATGAAGGCTGATAGTTGTTTGTTCATGATTCTTCCAGGATATCAGAGTTTCTTTAAATGACAGATATATGCACTTTTCTACCACATCCCAAATATACAAACAGGCACCATTTTTTCCTGGTATGTCTGTGATTAGTATTAAGGTAGGCATGCTTCTTTGATGCTCATTGGGAGCTTGCCAGCCCTTTGTACTAATGCTAGATTATATGTGGTTTTGAAAGTTGTGGTTGATTTAAGGCATTCCCTAGGAATCATTTCTCATCAAATCATTCACAGGTTATGAAACAGGACTACTAAGCACTAAGAGTAAAAACCATATTCATCCTATTATAACCCTGTACCTAACACTACTCAGAGTGGAAACATGAGGATGAATATATATTTAAAAGTTATAAATGTGAATATGAAAAGATGATAGGAGAATGGATGGAGAATTCTGGGAAGATCACATGATCTTGCCAGGATATTAAGCTGTTTTTCTAGTCTTAACCCTGTCTTGAGTCCCCACCCTTTACAGACACACACACACACACACACACACACACACACACACACAGTGGATAAGTGTATAAAATGCAATTGATAGAATACATATAAAATGTAAAGCCATGCTCCACAGATTCAGAAGGGCTATTGTAACTGTGCAGAATATCATTGAAATCTATGGACTGTGGATCTGGGTAAGTGCTTGCTTGAGTGGCTGTATTACTCTATCTAGCTCCCTGGTATATTTGTTGATTTAGAAGTTCTTTATAATAAAGTGATTTTTAATAAAATTACAATGAAAACAAGTGGAAAACCTAGATGTGAGTATTTCAGAATATTGTGAAGCATCAAGTAATGGGAAAGGAAAAAATATTCATTTTCTTAGTGAAGGGCAAATAAATGTCTTCTATATGTAAGCTGGAAAATGTATTAAATTAACAGTAGTTATTCTTTTGTTCACATTTTGCTCTGATAATTTTGAAAATTTTTATTAGGTAAATACAGTGGTTCACATCAATCTTGTAAACTTTTGTTTAAAAACTGCTATTTATCAGAAAGTCAACTTAAAATGGTTAAGTTTTGTTTAAAGTGTATAAGTCAGCAAAGGCAATAATAACTAACGAGATGGCTTAATACTGTGTCCATTTAGCAGAATAAGAGTAGAAGTTTCTTCCCTAGGGCCTATGACTTTGCAGCACTCTGAAACCTAGCCAGTTGTGGTGAAGCTACAAGGTCAGCACCAGCATAGTTTCTCCGTATTCTGTGCTCAAGGGTCTCATAGTCAATTTTGGAGGGAAACTAATAGTGAGGGCAATAGTCTATAGTGCTCGGGAGTGTATGGGATTGCCCTGGCCAATAAACAGCTCAAGGATCTTTCCTGGTACTTGACTTTTTTTTGAAACACTTAACAAATCTTTATTTAAAAAAATATTTTTTAAAGCATCTAGACAAATTTTGTCTCCCAAAGAACAATTCCAGTAAAGACTGTATGCACAGGGAAAAAGAGGTGCTTGCGGGACTTTAGGAATTCAAGAATCTGTGGTGTGGTTTGATAGCATATACACAAATCAAAGACATTTTTATACACAATCCTAAACCAGGAAGTTCACAACATTTTAGAAACCAAGTTCCATAAAAATTTTACTTGCAAAAAAAAGTTGTACAAAATATTATTCTTCTAGTCAAAATTTCCCATAGGGTTTGTGCACCTTCTTGCCTTAAACATTCCAGTATGACATCCAAAGGAAGTTTTTCAAAGAACCACCTAGCTGTGAAACCTACAAGAGATATGTAGATTTTTTAAAGTGCCTTTAAAATGTGAAAGCAAGTAATATAATTGTTGAATCTATTTGAAAATTTAAAAGTTTCTTTAGCACAGCCCATATGGCAAGCACAACATCACAGCTGGCACAAAACTGCCTGTGTTTAGCTGGAAACACAAAAACAATGCATGACAGTATTCTTTGAAAAGTAAATCCAAATGCTGCTATCGCATCCTAAGGCCAATTAGACAGTATTCAGGGAATTAACAGAGCCAGCAGAGTATTACAGTATTCAAACATTTACTGTGACGTTTTAAATGCCACTGATGAAGGTGAGAGAACTCTTGCCACGTGAAGCAGGGTGTCTTTCCAGCCCCATGGGCTGAATTTGCTGTGTGTCCTAGAGTGAAGCTTGAGCTCAGAAGGTAAAGACCATCTCCTCTCTAGTTTCTCTGCTGCAATCTGGCAGCTTTGAACTTTGAAACCCTCTTTGCAGGTTCTTCCGATGCTTCTGGTAGAACTTCTTTTCGCTCTGGAATAGTGGGTAGGGCAGGATGAGCAATGGCTGAATGTGGTGCTAAGGAGGGGGATGAGAATTCTTTTTCTATTACAGTTCCAGAGAAAGCCTCGGACACTCCTGAGGGCAAAGGCTTCTTGGGGTGATTTTCCTGCAGCTCTTCCAAACTGCCCCTGCTGGCGTCGGTGCCTGCGGCCTCCTCACCGCTGAGGCTTCTCAGAGCGCTGTGCCTGTCGTCCACATCAGCTGCGCTGCTCTCACTGGTGTCGCTGCAGGCACTGTTCTCTCTGCTGTGAGACTTCAGGATCGACTTCCGAGGGACATACTCTCCATTCACAACATCCACAAAGACTCTGTAAATGTCAGTGGGGCTCCTGATTGCAGGCAGCTCATGGGTAGCTTGGCTTCCAGCACTGTTCTTTCGTTTCCGCTTGGCTTCCTCTTTCTTTTCACTGAATTTTAAAGTGGTATTCTTCCCAGTGTTTATTCGAACCCTTTTAGGCTCAACAGTATGAGAGAAATATATTGTTGGTACGGAATTATCTGCTGAAATAGCATGGTCACTTTCATCATCGTCGTCGTCATCATCATCATCACCATCATCATCTTCTTCTTCATCTTCTTCGTTGCTGTAAGAATTTGAACCATTCACTGAACAGTTCAAATGGCGACTGGCTTGACCATTAGGGAGTCCTGCGTTTCTAGCTTGCGTACCATGGCTGCCAGAGGCGAGGGGATCAGTCACCTCAGGCGCCGTGTTCACGCCTGTGCCATTAGCTCCCTTTTCCTCCTCAGAAGACCCTGTGTCTTCCCCATTCATAATCACAGTATCAGGTTTACTATCAAGTTCACCCAGCAATTCTTCTTGTCTCTCTAGCTCTTCAAGTCAAGCCCATAATTCCTCATCAGCAAGTAAATCCTTGGGTTTTACATCATCTTCAAAATCTGCTTCAAAACCATCTGAAGTTTTTGGTTTGGAATGAGGTTTATGAGCAATTCGTTGTTTTCCTTTACATTCAAAGTCACTTTTAATTTCTTCTCTTATGTCAACAATATCACCTGCAGCATCACTCATCTTCTGCAAGTCTTCTGTGAATTCAACTCTGGATTCAAAATTTTTCAACACTTTTTTTAAATCATCTATTGTTTTTCTTACATGTTCTTTCCGGTGCTCAACTAAACCTACAGCCTGTTTTGCCGAGCACTTTGCAAACCAGTTGTCCCCAAGTAAAACAGTGACTTCATTAGTGTGGACAAGTTTTCCTGGCATGAAGGCAAGAGGGCCAAATGGTACCATGACGTCGTAGGACAGCTTGTCAGGCAAGGTTCTCAGTCTCTCTTGAAGAGCGCTATAGTCACTGTCTACTTTCTCCCAATGCTGGATTTTCTCTTGGCAGTTAGTGACCACCTTTTCCTGCTCCTCGCGGAGCCGCGCCGCCTTTGGGGCGCGCAGCGGAGCAGCGGTCAAGGCCTCAGGAAGGGACTGGGACTGGGGCTCCGCCTCGGGCTCGGGCTCCTCGGGCGGGGGTTCCATGCCCGGCGCCGCGGCCTCAGCGAGGCGAGCAAGTCCTAAACAAGTGTTTACGGAGGCGGCGTGGCCGGCAGCTGCCCAGCGCCTGCGCGCTCGACCTCATGCACCGCGCGCCGCGCTCCCAGGAGGCCGGGCTGGCCTTGGCCGCTGCCCCGGGGGCCGCTGCTCGCGTCCGTGAAGCCCGAGGCCTCATCTCACACGCGCATCCCACCGCCGTCCCCCGCCGCCGCTGTCCCGGAGCAGCAGGCCCTAAGCCAGGAGCGCCAGCCATGCTTTCCGTCTTCTGCAGCCGGTACTTGACTTTTTATTTGGTAACATGAAGTGTCTAGTTGGGGTATTGCTACCTCTGTTATAGCACCCTATAACAGACTCCATTGAAACTCTCTATACATATATATTTTAGGATCTTCTACAATAGGTTTCCTTGTTCCCTGCCATTTTATCCCCTACCCCATTATTTCCTGTTTTATTATTCTCCTTTTCCCTGGTGTCATTACATCCTCTATCTCCTCTTTTCAAAGAGTTCCTCATCCCTGGTAGTCTCTTACTAGTTGCTGTAAGCGTTTCGTCGGGATGGGTCAGGACAGGATGGAACAGGAGTGGGTCAGGTATTCTGGCACTCGGGAGTCACAGAATACCCAGTGTTACACAGCTCAGGTGGAAAGGTATCCTGGAGCTCGGGAGCCAAGGATACTGAGTGTTACACAGCTCAGGTAGAAAGGTATCCTGGAGCTCAGGAGCCAAGGACCACCACAGGTTGCAGTAAGCTTGGCAGCTTACAGCCTTTCTCCGGTGTGTCAGCTCCGCTCCAGCAGGACAGGGTCTTCCAGCTGGGGATGTTCGCCTAGTGTAGCAGTTTTGCTCCGCAGGAGGTTTCTCGGGCGAAGTTGCTACAGTTCAGCTCTGCTCCTGGAGAGCGGAGAGCAGAGAGCAGGGAGCCGGGCGGGAGCAGAGTGTAACAACTCCGCTCTGCCAAGGAAGGTTTCCCGGGCAAGTGTTACAGCGCTGCCCTGCCCTGCCCTGCCCTGCCCTGCCCTGCCCTGCCCTGCCCTGCCCTGCCCTGCCCTGCCCTGCCCTGCCCTGCCCTGCCCTGCCCTGCCCTGCCCTGCCCTGCCCTGCCCTGCCCCTGCCCTGCCCTGCCCTGCCCTGCCCTGCCCTGCCCTGCCCTGCCCTGCCCTGCCCTGCCCTGCCCTGCCCTGCCCTGCCCTGCCCTGCCCTGCCCTGCCCTGCCCTGCCCTGCCCTGCCCTGCCCCTGCCCCTGCCCTGCCCTGCCCTGCCCTCCTGCCCTGCCCTGCCCTGCCCTGCCCTGCCCTGCCCTGCCTCCTGCCCTGCCCTGCCCCTGCCCTGCCCTGCCCTGCCCTGCCCTGCCCTGCCCTGCCCTGCCCTGCCCTGCCCTGCCCTGCCCTGCCCTGCCCTGCCCTGCCCTGCCCTGCCCTGCCCTGCCCTGCCCTGCCCTGCCCTGCCTCTGCCCTGCCCTGCCCTGCCCTGCCCTGCCCTGCCCTGCCCTGCCCTGCCCTGCCCTGCCCTGCCCTGCCCTGCCCTGCCCTGCCCTGCCCTGCCCTGCCCTGCCCTGCCCTGCCCTGCCCTGCCCTGCCCTGCCCTGCCCTGCCCTGCCCTGCCCTGCCCTGCCCTGCCCTGCCCTGCCCTGCCCTGCCCTGCCCTGCCCTGCGTCGCCTCTGCTCTGTCGCCGCTGCAAAAGAAGATCTTCACCCAAAGCTCATCCAAAGGGGTTTATTGGAAGACAGCTGGACCAGCCAAGCTGAACATACACAGGGTTTATATAGGGGTTCCTGGGGTTGGGGAAGTTTTTCCAGGGTAGGGATTGGTCCGATTTCAGTGCTGAGCTCAGATTGGCTAGAGCTCTGCTCCGGGATTGGTTACTTTTTTACACAGGATTAGGGTCAGATTTGGCTCTGGTTTCAGGGCCAAAGTGTGTTTCTTTCTCTGGTCCTTTTTAGCCTTTTGGCTCCAATTTTAGGGCCAGGGTACATTTCTTTCACTGACTCTGATTCCAGGGACAAAGTGTGTTCCTTTGGCACTGGTTTTAGGGTCAGGGTACATTTCTTTGGTTCTGGTTGCAGGGCCAAAGTGTGTTTCTTTGGCTCTGCTCAGGGTGTGTTTCTTTGACTGGTCCCTTTTTCCCTACAGTTGCCCAACTAAGTAGTCTCAATGAAACATACATATTTAAGATTCAAAGCTAATATCCATGGTAGAGAGAACATGGAATAATTTTCTTTCTGTTTATGTTTCTAGTTCTAACCATTTACCTGCAAATTTCATAATTTCATTTTTTAGCAGCTAAATAATATCCCATTGTGCACATGTAATATAATTTTTATTAACCGTTCATCAGTTAAGGGACATCTTAGACTGACTGTGCACCCTGGCTCCCCTGAATAGAACAACAAAGAACAGGGATGAGCAGATGTCCCTATAGTAGAATAAAGAGTCCTTTCGGTGCATTCCAATGAAATCTATAGCTGACCATAAGCTTGTTGAGGAACTTCTACTCCATTTCCCATAGTGGCTGCAGCAGTTTACACCCTAACTAAATAAGTGTCCCCTTTCCCTGAATCCTCATCAGTGTCTGTCTGCTGCCAGTTGTCTTTTGATCTTTACCATTCAGGCTGGAGTAAGAAGAAATCTCAGTGTAGTTTTGATTTGCAGTTCCCTGTTGGCTAAGGATGGTGAATATTAAAAGAGAAATAGATTTCTCAGCTCTTTTCATTTCACATTTTATGCAATACACTTAGTTCCACTCCTAGTTTTTTCCAGGGTCTCACCGTATATCCCTGGCTGGCTTGGAGTACTCAGACATGTCTGTAACTCCACCATCAAACACTGGATCTAGGGGCTTGCATCACCATGCCCCTGCTAAGCTGCAGTTTTAAATGGGGTTGTTAGATTTCTTGATGTGTAGTAATTTGAGTCCTGTGTGTTCTGGACACTAACCCTCTGTCAAAAGGGCATTGAGTAAAGACTTTTCCCTCTCTGTGTCTACCTTTGCACTTGGTCGATGGTGATCACTGTACAGAAGCTTTTCAGTTTCACATGGCCCCATTTGTTTATTATTGGTCTTAACACCAGGCCTCCCAGGGTCCTGTTCAGAAAGCCCTTTTCCATGTCTATAAGTTAAAATGTATTGTGTACATTCTCTTCTATTTGGTGTAGGGAATTGGCTCTTATGTTGAGATCCCTGATCCCTTCTTCAGAGCAGTGATTCTCAAACCTGATCCACTCATTCATTAGAGCAGTGGTTCTTGAACCGTAGGCCACAACCCCTTGGTTGGAGTCGACCAACCCTTCCACAGGGGTCACATATCAGATATCCTATTTATCAGATGTTTATATTACAATTCACATCATTAACAAAGATATGAGGTAGCAAGGACAGTTTATGGTGTGGCTCACCACAACATGAACAACTGTATCAAACGTCTCAGCCTTAGGAAGCTTGAGGACCATTGCATTAGAGGCTGGAGGACATAGGTATTTTTGTCCACCTAGTAAATTTGTAGTTTTCTTTACCCACTCTGAATTCTGTATAAAGCAGCTGCCCTTGCTCCAGCTTTTTCTCTGGAATTAACCCTTGGGCTGTAGGGGGAAATGGTGTGTATGGGTTGTGGGAGGATTTCTTTCCTGGCCATGTATGTGAGAGGATACTTTCTTTAGGTACTGCGGTCTGCTGTACTCTTGTACATTGCCCTTTTTTAGTACTTGTGCCTTTCAGGCTGGACAAAGTGTTTGCATAGTCCAAAGTCAGAATCAATCATTTAGAACCACAGTGAGTTTTTTTTAACTTTACTTTTACCATAGCACGATGCTGTCCACAGGGGCAATAGTGAGGTACTTCCACAGGCAGTACACAGAACAGAGAGAGGTTATAGTGATTTGCCTAACAGGTTAATGTTCCCCAGCCTTGCCATGAAAGCCCCATTCTACTGTTGGTAGACGGCCTTTAGTTGTGTTATTTTTCATCTCTGAGAATCTTCATTCAACTTCTCCTCTATTAATGTCAACCAGCCCTCTGAGTGTGTGTCATAGCTTAGAAGGCAGCCTTGCATTAAATTTGCATTAGTTTATCTATCCCTTGATATCCAGGAACTTTCAGAAATACTTGGTAATGTGACAGACATCTTGTAAAAACATCTAGAAGCTGAGCATAGAGGCACTTGCCTTTAATCCCACCACTTGGGAGGGAAGCAGAAGCAGATAGAACTCTGTGAGTTTGAGGCCAGCCTGATCTGCACATTGAGGACCACTGTCCACTTCCTGCCCCTGCAATTTGGAAGCAGAACAGCAAGGAGCTGCACTGCTGTCTTGGGGCCACCTTCATACCTGGTGCCAGGTGCCTCTAGCACACACCTTCCGGGTAAAGAATTTCCTGTCCCAGTGAGGGGAAGGCACAGCCTGGGGCAGGGGGTGGGGCCTAGCAGAGGTGTAGGAATATTGCATGTGCTTTGGTGCAGACATGCTGAGGTGCAGGTCAGGACAATTGAGGGCAGACATGTTGGCAGGGCCTCCGTGCTCCACCTTGCTGTTGCCTTCTGCCATGACTTTCTGGGGATGCTCCCACTCCTGCGTCCTACTTGGCTCTTCAGCACCTGCTGCTTTGTCCTCGTGTGAGCCAGGTGTGAACCAGAAAATGCTTTCTGAAGTGCTGGTGAGCAGGAAGGAACATGAGCTCAGTGGGGGCAGGGAGACCAGGATCTGAGGACACCGCAGCCTGGGCTGCTGCCTGAGGGTGCTCTTAGCTGCCTGTTTGTTGCTGCTGAGACCCTGAGGCCCATGTCACTGCTGACACTGGCCAGTGCCACTTTGGTTGCCTGAGTTGGCACCTGTCTCCTGGGGCTACTAGTCATGTGGTCCACCATGGGAACACAACCTGGTGCTGTGTTGTCCTGCTCCAAGCTTTCCCCAAGCTCTGGAAGAAGGAACTCTCATGGTTGGCATCCTACTGGCCTGACAGGGACCTCAGCCTTGAGAAACAGACTGCAACCTACAGCTCAGCAGGAACAGGAAAGCATCTCCATGGGAAGCAGTGGCACCTGTCCCTCTCCTCCCCAGAGCATCTTGGAGCCTTGTGCATGCATCCATTGCCTGGGGCTAGGCCCACAGGGATTGGTGGAAACTTTGTTAGTCACAGACCTCAGGGCTGTGGCTTGCATGGATAGGGAGGGGGCGTGTCAGTATGCATGTGCTGCCTGGAGGGGACAGGCTGGGCCTCAGGTAGGGTGATTTTGGGATTTTGTTTGCAGTGTTGGTGGTATTTGTCCTTACCAAAAGGAAGGGATTTGTCATAACGGTGAGTTTGTTACATGTCTATAAGATGACTGCAATGCTCTGCAATAATGTACACAACCAGTACCCTGACTCTCTCCAGGTATCAAAATGATGCCACACTGCCTCCACGTGTAGAATGCTAATCTATTGACTTGAGTAGCTCTGATGTTTCAGTGTGTGTATAGTCATGGGCAGTGCAGTGAATATGTGAGCTTAAGAAATTAGTGGAGAGCCTGGGCATGCTGACACATGCCTGTCATCCATACACTCAAGGGGCTGAGGCAGGAGAATTTTTAGTCAGGGTCGGCCTGGGCTTCATAAAGAGACCCTGTTTGAAAAAATAAAATAGTGGAGAAAATTGACTAAAAATGGAATCAAGTAGGAGGAACATAATATGACAAAGTACATTTATATTTTAAAACATGAAAAAGCTGATACCAGTAGAAATGTGTACACATTCCTATTATTTATAAGTAATTGCATATATATCTACATTCATGAACAAAAACATCTATTTTGAAAACTATACTTATCTGTAAATACACCCAGAATGGAGACTTTAATATACATGCCAAAATGTAGTGTTGGGGTTGCTGTAGTATATTTTGGTTTTCTTTTTCTTTTTGCATGTATTTCCAAAGCTTTATTTTATATCTGTACCATTTTAACTTCTTCCATATAATCCTTTACATTTTCCAAATTTTCTACATCAATGGGTCTTTTATTATGAGAAGTAGCTTCTGATTATAGTCAGTTGACATTTCTGTGCTTCTGAAAACTCCTCTGCCTCAAGGTATTCCCTATGGAAAAAAGCTGATGAGTAGCTTTCTACTGTGTCCTGTTAACCTCACACTCTCTGTCCTGAAGACATTGCCTCTGACTGTACACACCTCTGAAATTGTCCAGCTTGGGACTTGTTTCGTCTTGCTGCTTGTCTTTGTCTCCTCATTCTGGAGACACCTGTGAAATTGTCTGCTTGCCCTTGTCTCCTGACTGTACACACCTGTGAAATTGTCTGCTTGTCCTTGTCCACTTGCTGTATAACCTGTGAAATTGTCTGCTTGTCCTTGTCCCCTGACTGTACACACCTGTGAAATTGTCTGCTTGTCCTTGTCCACTTGCTGTACACACCTGTGAAGTTGTCTGTGTGTCCTTGTCCCCTGACTGTACACACCTGTGAAGTTGTCTGTGTGTCCATGTCCCCTGACTGTACACACCTGTGAAGTATCTGCTTGCCCTTGTCCCCTGACTGTACACACCTGTGAAATTGTCTATGTGTCCTTGTCCCCTGACTGTACACACCTGAGAAGTTGTCCTCCTTGGCCCTGGTTGTTCCTGCTCATTTGCATTTCCTCTTGAATATGTAGAATGTCTCAATCCTCAGCATCTGGGTTTAGAAATAAAGGAAGATCTGCTTACTGTCCAGACTCCCTTCCTGCAGCCTTGGAAATGACCTCACCTGGCTGCTGTGCCAACGGCTGGGAAGTGTGGGTGACATCCTCCTTCATCCTCTGTGTCCTTGCCATTGTGTTCTTGATCATTCGTCAGCTTACTAGAACAACAAGGAGGAAGTTTGGTGTGTAATACAAATTACAGCTCTCTAATGTGCTTTGATGTGAGTTTTTGGTGTGTGTGTGTGTGTGTGTGTGTGTGTGTGTGTGTGTTTCTGTCCTGTGTCTCTCTGCCTACCCACCTCTGCCTCCCTTCTCAAGTGCTAAGAATAAAGGCATGTAGTACCATTCCCAGCAATACTGGTTGTATTTTGACTTAAATTTCTCTGTTGCCCCAGTTGTCCAGAATCTTGCTAAATAGACCACGCTGGCCTGAAACTCACAGGCATAGAGTGCTGGCATTGAAAGTGTGCACCTTTACTCTTGGCTTGTTTCTGGGTTTTGTTTTGGATTTGTTGTTGTTTTGAAACTCTGTCTCAGTATGTAGCACTCACTTTCTAGCCCAGAACTCATATTGTAACCCAGGCTATCTTCTAACTTACCTGCCTTTGCTAAGGTTTTATAAACTGTATTGGCTATATTATCTCCACAATCATGTCTACTTCTCTAAAAAAACAAAACATCAACAACAGAAAATCAAAAGTATAATTCTCTGAAGAGTCAAAGGCTTGTACTCAGTGGCTCTCAGTGGCCTGGCCATCATTCTGCTCCAGTGGAAATCTGTTTTACTTGGGTTCCATAGGAACCAGTGTTTGTGCTGATCCTGCAAACCATTCCTGTCTGAAACTAGTTCCCTCACCTCACACACCAGTCATCTCATATCCCTCTGCCTGGGCTGCTTTTAGGTTTTGAAAGATTACTGAACTGGGAGGGGCTGAGATCTCTCTAATCACAGTAGGCTGTGGTTTACTAGTGACTAGCACTTGCCATTCAAATGTCTGTCCAAATACATGGAAAGAGAAAACCATGCTTTTCTTGTTTACACATGAAAGAATTTGGTCAAAATTGTGTTATTACAGGAAGGAGCTGGGCCAGTACAGGAGCCCAGGTATCCTTTGGCATGAATATGGAGATCAAGGGGACAACTTATAAGAGTTTGTTCTCTGCTTCTACCATGTCAGTGTCAAGCTTGGGGGCAAGCACTTTTTTTCCCACTGAGCCAACTTGCAGGCCCTGAGATTTTGTTTAGAGTTTTACCAAACACCAAAAAATAACTGATCTACACTGGACTTTTCCATGAAGTCATTCTGTGATACTGCGTCTAAGAATGCCCCTTCCTTCCTAAGTACAATTGGGTTTCACCATAAAGATCTGGATGACCATGAGCAGTGGCAATAACCTATAATATTGACAGGTCTATGGGACCCAACTGGCAAATAGTTCAAAACAGGTTTTTATTTGCTGCAATGAGGTATCTACTGGTCTATATTGTTGAGGTGTCGTCTCTCCCATGATGTTATTGGATGAGCATATTTGAACTATTATATGTGTGCTTATTCCACAGTGTTAGGTTTCCATGAAACTTCTTCAAGAGGCCTTTAGTGTTAGTTAG